CTTCTGCCGTGATGCTATCGTGGATAAATCTTAGTATTTGTTATGGCCAGCGGAAAAGAAGTTGAGTGCTCGTTCATTCAGCGAAAGTAACAGGCACTTTGGACAATAAACTAATGGGTTTGATAAAGTATGATAGGCAGTTTTTAAGGTAACCAGCAAGCTAGCTTTGAAATATTCAGGACCAGTACAAATATCAAGAACCACCGCTTCAAAGGGGGCTAAATGGTTTAAGCAGGAGTATATCATATCCAGACTCAGTCTTATAACATCCTAAGTTAATTTACTGCTGAAGTTTGGTAATTTCGGGTGGGGGTATCCTGTCATCTGTGCCGCAGTAACGTGCATGTCAGTGGATAATAAGCGCGATATATAACATGTAACTTAGTCACATCAGCCGTCAACTATAACCCAATATTTCTCACCACGGACTCGTAAAAGTTGGGTCATTGATTCTAGTCCCAGATCAGCCAGGCGGAATGCACACTGCTGACGATTTCCGAAAGGGTGATGTCGGTTTTTCTGAGACTGCATGATAAAATTCTACTTAAACTGCTGATTATACAGTGGTTTCCGCGTGGGGCGAGATTGTTAAATGGATAGCACGATTAGCTAGCCAATTCCCCATAGGATCCATCACCATTGGTACTACAAAGGGAATATCAACCTCTCCAGCGACGACTGTCAAGGACCCATTGACCGGCAACCTGATCCATTAGGGGTTCCAGTGTTGTTTGAAGGTGTGTGTATTGAGGGAAAGTTTCCTTACAGTGTTGAGCTTCTTTGAGTCAACCATCGATGTAAAGACTTCTCACTTTAGCCATTGTGAACTTTTGAGACTTACTTTCTCACTAACTTTACGCACATCCTAACGTCATGGACATATCTAGTGTGACCATCTGCAAGTAACTCCGTCAATACGTGTAATTAGTTTTCAGAAGGTGTTTGTGTTTGATTAGGCTCAGGGCACCTCATTGAACTTTGAGGCCACTTTTACACCCGATACGTGGGCAAAAAGACCAAGCAAACATTGGCTTAGCGAACCCGGAGTGTCTTGGTAGCAAACTAAAAAGAAAGAGACCATTGAGATACGCTTAGACGGATATCGCTGATCCCTCTTTTATTCACTAACTAGATGATTGTAATAACCTCCTCCGATCGTCATGAGGTACTTGCTATCAATCACAGAGTCTTCCACGCCCTTTATGGTTTGCTTCCCGTATTAAGCACTGAATTCCATGGTAACCTCCATCGGACATCTAAGCCACCGAGCTACAGTCATAGTTGGCAAGCTACGACGCTAAGATTACTTCATGATACATTACACCACCACCTGTATTACTTGATTGAACCTAAATTACCTTGACTCGGAACAAAGTAATCAGACATGAAAATTGCGGAAGGGCCCCGGTTGCACGTTACGTTTGCGACACATTTACTTCCTGGTCGCAATTTACCTACGGGACATGTTAAGGGTTTGCTTTACTAACCATGATAAATCCACTGATCCATTAAAATAAGCTGCTACAAACGCTTTCGCCTGCTATTTAACGTTGCTCTTTCGGGGTAAGGTATAATTCCCTCGGTCATGGGGTTTGGTAAATAAATAAATGCTTTATATTTCGATACTGCTAGTCTGTTTTCGCATAGGGCCATGTCAATAAACAAACAGTTGTGTCTCATAAGTGACGATATCCAACCTAGGAGTGGAAAGAATGCAGTCCATTATGTGCATTTTGTATGTATGTCAGTTATCTCACTGTTGAACTGTGGTAAGCTCATATCATTAGCACCCATGCACTGGGTTGACTGATGAGAGTAGTTGAATATGTTTGGAAGAAATGCCAAGGGGGTTGGTTCCCGCATATTCATGTAAAGACATTTTTAGGTCTGCTTCCGTCACTCGCCACTTTGTGTTTGGTCCCGTCGATGAATATAAGCACATTCCAGCGCGTGATGCTGTTACGAGTTTTCGTGAGACAAAACATGATGGCACAATTGTTTCAGACAGTACAAATCGATGTAACTCGCCTTCACAAGCTATACTAATCTGAGATAAACAATCATGATGCATGTATTTGATTTCGAAGCCATTTTCGAAGACCACAAGATGGATATGATGTCCTACACCATGATATGTTTCTTGCCGGACGCTTCAAACTCATGCACTTTACTGCACTTTCTGTTGTTTTGGGGTAATTTATGCCGGAGCTTGGGGTAAACAATGAAATTTTTGTTAATTTATTTTTGTCCTTAGAGTTTTGACCTTCCAGCTCCCATTCTGTGTCATACACAGATTTACTCCTGTAAGCTGAGCAGATTTATGTATGATTCTAGATGGAAAACACAAATGTACTATCGTTCTTTACAACCATATGGGTTGCAGTGCCTACTGTAAGTCAGCTTTGGAGAATCGGCGTTGAATTCGCACAATACCAACAATTTTGTCAGAATTTCGCATGTTTGTGTAAAACACTGAGCAATAGAATGTGGTTGGCAGTACGTATGTTTTAAATAACCGAAACCGAGACTCAGGGAGTGCGGAGGAATGACACATATATCCAGCGGTTTTTCGCGCTTTTGATATCTGGAATTCATACTGCTCCGAGAAGCTGAACATGCGCGAGTATCGCAGGCCTAGGTCACGAACTGGTGTGCAATTAGTTATGTTCATTAGATGGAGGGTAAGACTGTTTGGTGAAATGACACTTATAAGATAAGATATTGCAATTATCTACAGCAAATGACCTTAACCCCAAGTGACACCAATCTTCAACATTTGGAAGATTGTTTTGAAAATGTTGTAAAACCTCCCGTGCATCCGTAGCTCTGTGAGAATAGACGACTTTTATGTCGTATGCAAACAAGAAAACAATGCCATGCTTAATGCTGCTAAAGATTTCATTAACCTAAGCACGAAACAGTAAGGAACCGAGGACAGTCTCTTGTATTACTCCACTAGTGACTGGTTTCGAGAGCGAAAGACGGTTGTCTATTTGTACAACTAGCCTGCTATCGGAGAGATTTAATGAAATCCAACTGAGTAGTGGTTTTCCGATACCAACGGATTGCAACTTGTTGAGCAGTCTTAGATGTAGAACTCGGTCGAATGCTACACGCATATGAAGAGCTATAGCTACAACTCACTTTGCAGCGTCAACAGCCATTGCTGTGTAGTTAAGAAAGTCTAACTGGCATTTCGCACAGAATCGGGCCTTTAGAAAACCATGTTATGCTTTTTTGGTGATACTTTTCGGTAAGAAGAAACTAACCCGCTCGTTTTTAAGCAACCGTTCCATTATTTTGCTATGCTTGACGTGTGGTTAATCGATCAATAGCTAGGAATTTCTTGACTTAACCTACTTCGGTACCCAGCAATAATAACCGACCATTGCGTTGGATACGCCCTATAATCTAGAGATTTCGTAAACAAGTTAAGTAGTAGCAGATGTAAATCAGTGGCAGTCTGATTAATGAACTCTTGAGGTATCCAACAGGTCCCTAGTGGAAGGATGAATCCAATCGCAAAATCTGTTCCTTAATTTCCCCAGTACTGAACTTTACATAAAATATGCGTGCACTGTAGTGCTGGGTAGGCATCGCTGGTAAGGGCACAGGTTCATACACTAAAGATCCCGTAAGGTAGGCGCGGCATGTTCCACACATGGCTGCCGTGTCGTCAGTGTATAATCCGTCCTGTAGGACTGCATATTTTAAAAGAGTTGTTCGATCAAACCCACGAGCACGAAAGAGGTTTGATCAACCGGCGATTTTGTTCACGTCATTCAGGGCTATTTCTCCTTCAGCCCAACGTTGTCGTTCATTCTGAGGTCTAATTTCTCTACAATCACAGATTGCTGTGAAATTAGAGAGAAGGCTGACGTGCGACGACTTTGATGTAACTTACATCATAATTTCATTGGGTGAGAACAGTATGGCTTATCATGGAGAAGCTTACATCGCTCTGGTGCAAAAACTTCTACTCAGTGGTTCATTTTATCATAGAACAGCTTTGCATTAAAAATAAGTCCGGGTACATCATAAATCCGCGTATCTTTCACTATGCTGCTTATCTTTTTCGAAGTTGCTGGTGAAACGTATCGAGCCTAAAAGATTTGAACGATGGTATAGTTTATGTACATGTAAACTGGACTATATGGGCCTCGATTCAGAGAATCGTTAACATGATGATGATGATTTTAATCGGACAAGTTCATTGTCTCTGGGGTTTGGTGCTGCCCAAGATATAATTTGCCCTAGTCCCGCCCATTGTTCATCAACATAGAAGCTGAAACAACGTAAACACAAGATAAGTCAACCAGAGCAACTAATGAGACCATGAACCCTTGAAACTAACAGCTTAAACCCCTAAAAATGAGGGTCTAAATAGTAACAGACAAATGGAACGTTCTCGGTGATTCATCAAAAACACCAGCCTGAGGCAAAAAATTGGTTTCAATAATTCATCTATGGGCCGGTACAATCAAATAAGGTTAAACTACAAAGGGTGGATCGTGATTTGTTCGAGGGTTTGTTCTCTAATGAGTCGGTCAATGGTTAGACAGCGAATAGTTCATCGCTGTCTCATTCACGTAGATCGATTGGGAGTAACGTAAGCACAATGCTTTAGAGCGTGATACTCCTATCGGAAATGCTGACGTGCATGAGGCAGATGGATATCATCTGAACTGAAGTGATAGCATTCAGAGTAAACATGGCAAAACTGTGAACTGTACCTGCAAATTTGAGACAGATGAGACATACACCATACTTGTGTGTATGCGAGTGGTGTATGTATATTCCCAAGTCCATTAACTAATTGTTATCCCTGCTAATATAGTTGTGAACAATGACTGTGATAGATGCTCCAATACCATGAAGGTGCCTTACGCATTTTGATAATTCATATCGGTAACTAAACAAGATGTGGCCTGATCCGATTATCAATAAAGGGCCATTAGGTGAAGTAGACACATGGTGCCTGACAAATAAGGTTCACTCACGCGATGTCCAAACAATCTCGACACAAAAGTACATTGTTTCTCAGATGAAAAATACAACGTCCGCAAGTAGTTTGCTGACATTGTTGACAGATTTTTTTCTGTTGCAGTGGACCCAGCCTCGCATAGCAAAATGAACAGCGATCTTTTCCCAACTGCCTTGGAGATGAGCCCAATTCTCTTGATCCGCGTTGGCCGCTTCCAGCACGAATATCGGGATGGAACTTGAAACTCGGTGTGTGGGGTGTGGACGGCGAGCTAGGTGTCAGAGAAGACACCCTGTCCAGAGTGACTGGAGCACACAAGGAAACCAGGCCACTACCAGGAACCGCTGGGTTCTGTTGGCGAAGAGCTTCAATCGCATAAGACAGAATCTCCGGGCGTAGCTTCGCTGGAAAGTTTCCTGCCATGCATCTTAAACCAAGACGGATTACCCAAGAGTTAATTTAAGAAGTTAGGGATATCATTATGAAAACTCAAGGCATAGATAGCCATTTACTTCTTGTGTAAGAATTAATAAAAATACGCAATTTTGGGGAGCAACAGCAGCTGAAATTACGCATTCATTTGTAAATTGTCGGCTCGCGTACTCAACACGAATATAAATTGGTCTGTTAGTAACAACAAAAACTATAATGATAATACGTGTATTTCTCAGGATCCGTGAAGTCGTATCTGTAACCCATGGATCAATAGGTACAAAAGTAACATACTCTTGCATAAGCGCTAAGCATACGTGAACTATTAAAAGAATATTCATGTGATAGCGATTTGGCGAATAGTTGAGGTGAAAGCCATGGTTTAAAAACATAAGCGTTTAGAGGTTTTTGGGCCCCAATTGTAATAATTCGTTGAGGGATTTTCAATGTGAAAATAGTCACTATTGTATTCAGATCAAGACAAATTGTGGGCACGTTACAAAACGTTGCCACATTTTTCCATGATCTGATTGTGATTCAAAGTTTATTACACACATAAATGTGGCGGACTCGTAAGCAAATCCTGTGCACGCCTGTTTCAGCCTATGGTAAAAATAGAGTATACTCTTTGTTGCGAAGTTTTCAAATTGGGCTATGTTGCAGTTTGAGTGTAGGCAGATCGGAATAGGTTGTAAAGCGGCAACAAGTTATGCTTCTGTCTTTGCATCCAAAATGGTTCTAACTGAAGTTTGCCGCAACGCTGTCAATAATTCATGATAGAATGTTTACCAGTCAGATGCTTAGTAGAAGAACTCTGCCGGTGTTCCAGAGCAATTCAGTCGCTCTTTCTCCTTTTTCCATAAGCTGGGCTACGATACTACAGAAAGGGGCGGGTGAGTAGCAAAAATAGCTTAACTCCAATATTTTATGTGTAAATATGGTTAGATATATTATGCACAGGTTGTGTTGCACGCGCTACTTCGTACTGCTCCTGTTCCTAGTGGCTAAAGCCTGAAGAGTGCGTAATTCCGGGGTCTTGCGTGGACAGCTGTATGGGGACATATTCGTTATTAAACATAACAGATAACTCGGGGATGGAACAGCTCTAAGACATGATGCTTGATTTTTTCGCGGAGTGGTTCATCATCCACGATTGACACCGCACCTCAAGTCAATAAAGGTTAACTTGAATAATCAACAGCGTTCCGTAGAGTCCGTCATGTAGAAGCTTATAAACATTCTTGATTTAAATGGCGAATACAAATGTCCGTTTATGTTTTAAGGACGTGGTAATATTAATGATGAAGAGCAGGAACAGCAAGAGATCGGGCGCACTCCCTTGGATGAACACACTAGTCATGGGGAGTAGAAATGGACGATAGTCATTTGAAATAACTAGCTGCCGGGGACCACTCAGGTAAGACGATGGATCCCAAAGGACGGTAACATTTTAACACTCATTTATGAGGAACCTGGTAGAATGCTTGGTGCTTGTCCAGATACATAATTACTATTACATAACCGGAATAAATTGATTCTGGTATCTAGTTCAGGTGATGCGATTTACAGCTGGTGCACGTTCGCTTTTCAATGAAACCAAGCGGCGAATTTCTATCAGGTGCAACGAGTTGACCAAGTTCAGCTTGCAATTTTTGACCAGTTCTCCTCTAGCCGGGCGATTATTACTGTGTGATGGATCGACTTATAGTTATGAATCTTTTAGGACCTCACTTTTGCCGTGGTATAATAAACGACGTTTCCCATAGCTCTGGGTGGTGGCCACATTCCGACGACGGAGTGAACACGTCCATCATGAACCGTAGCATATCAGGCTTCCTAATGATATAGTGATTGGTGGAATGCTTTCTGAACCCAGCTTGGAGCAAGGTCTGATATAGATAATAAATCGGCGGATAACCTTGAGCGAAACCTTAACTTTGTTTACGACATTTGTTACTGCAAACTCCATGTATGCAGTCGCATGGTCAAATTAGAAACCCATGAAAGTGGCCAAAAAGCAGCTGAATGCTTCGCAGGTTGAAGTTGGGGAAATAAGAGTCCCTCATGGTCAACCATAGCAATAATAAAAGTTGCGGTCGTTTGTTCTACAAAGCAGTATTTTAACAAGCGCCCGCGCCTCGCAGTCTGTTGACAAGTCCATAGGTCTTCAATTGTATTGAAGCATTCGTGCAATTCTTGCGGAGTGAAAATGACATTATAAAAGCCAACAACGAACATCAGCAAAATGAGTATAAGATACCTCATCGAAATTACAATATTTCGATAGATGTGAAAAACTCAAACTTGAGACCCTGTGGGTGGAGAGCATGAAAGAGAACTTAATCATATTATTTAACGATCCGCAAAGAGAAACTACACGCATCCAAACATAACATGGCAACAACACAACCACCACTACACAACTCAGGAAATAAAGAAATTTCTGTAATAGAATACACTTGGAAAACCACCAAATTCGCAAATTCAATCCTTAACAGTGACACCAGAATCTGGAACAAGTTACCATCCGAAATAGATGCTTGCAGTTCAGAGCACAACTTCGTATAAGGACTAGTAAATATTTGACTATGCAGAACGTAAAGATGCGATTAGGAGGCCATATAAAAACAGCGAAGCACACGAACAGGGCACAGAATTCAAATGATCCAGAGAACAGTCTACAAGGAGAGCGAATATTGGAGGGAAAAGCCGCTAAAATCACCGTCTTCATGGTCCTTCTTCCTCTTACACGGCTATGCAAACCACAGAGTTATCATCAACAAGTGTCTATGAGGGAGGAAGTCAACTGAACACACCTCTACATTTTCCGTCTTCAATCTCGACGTTCGTATGAGTCTTAGTGAAGACTACTCCTGCAGGTCCCTTTTTTAAGTGCCCCCTTGTTAAACCTATTCTCCAATCATCCAAAATTATATTCCAAGCGTTTCATATTCATATTCTTAAAGTGCCTACCAATCCAGATAAATACATTCCTTGCAGCATCAGATAACACAGTGATAAAACAATTAACAGTCATGCCCTGTGAACATAAATTCGCATCACAGTTGTACTTCTTCTGATCATAACTGGTCGTTGCACTAGAATATGCTGTAACAGCCGTGTCTCAATTAAAACGAAAATATACCCTATATATATGTATATATATATGTATTGTTGAACCATAAACTCGTATAGTGTCCAAATGCCATTCTTGCAAACGGCTGAGCATTGTGGTGCACTTGAAAACATAATTATCCAATATTTTACAACACTGGCTTTTAGTATTTTTTGAATATTCTCAGCGTCCACTTGTTTTACTGACTGTACCTCCTCCTTCACAAACGGCTCTTGTGAGTTCTTGGCAACACGTTCCTAGCCTTTGCTGATCAGCTGCACATTTCTTTTAGCCTGTACCATATAAGTTGGTTACATCTTCTCTACTGTTCCGTAGTTAACACGTCTCTAACGTGTCATCGCTACCGGGTGGCATCCAACAGCATCCAACAAGAGGTTACGATGAGCGGTCACTAGGACTGACGGACATGATAAGCATGAATTGAGACAAAATGAGGTAGGATAATAGAGCAGGAGTGTGGCAAGCGTATACATAAAAACTTGAATTTTTAATAAGGTATTGTATGACTTGTGAAAAGTGTGGGCAGGTAATTGTGAAGAAGCGAACAAACATTATCAGTTGAAGGAACAATGAACAATGAATTGATACGGGGTGAGAAGTGATGCTTTACAAGTCCAGTTGGAAAGTTGGTGGGGATACCAAATTAGAACTAATGATAACAATGATAGTAACACATGAAACACTGAGGCAAATTCAGCCTCTTCAGTAACGCAGTAGGAAGACATAGGTTGAGAAATGTTAACATTTCGATTACTCTCTTTATTGGCTACGCAATACATGCAGAACAAAATACGCATTAAATACGGTCCACAATTCGTAACACAGATATATAGATAAAATTGATGTGAATAACGTAATCAGGTCCAAGGCAATCTAAGCGATTGCCTCAGTTGTTTCCGGGCACAGAGCGCGCGACAATTCAACTTTATGAACAGCGTCTCGCTAATCGCCAACAACGTCGGGTTCCTGTTTCGCAATAGCACCCTAAATGAATCGAATGGGTTCACCTGATGACGAGTCGTCATTGGTTGTTTGGTGATAGACGAGGCAGGATTTCGGTTCATCCTTTGGTGCGACAGCAACTGCTTAGCCACAATGGGAAGTGTTCCGCCACCCTTTGAGACAGCCGGCGACTAATCTTGCCGACGTAAGTGTCACCGCAACCGCAAGTGAACTGGTAGAGGCCAAACTGATTGGCGACCTACTCGGACGGCTGTAGAGAGGAAGCATTCGTGTAGTATTGGTAAATTGAAGTTGGGCGGGAGAGTAGGTACGCATTAGAGCAGACCTGAGCTTGTGATCAACATCATTTGCCACATGATCCCCCTTGAACGGTAAGAACAAATAAACATTCTTCTTATCCACTGTTTGTACTGGCAGATTCCCCTTGGGGGGTCTGCTATGGGTCTGAATGAATTTCTCCGTATACCCATTGGATAGCAGAGTCTGGTACAAAACTCTACTTCAGCCTTGAGCGATTCCGGACTGCAAATTTTCCTGACTCTGTAGAAGAGAGCTTTTACGAGGCCGCCGTTATATGCAACTAGGGTGAAGCTGGAAAAATGTAGGTATTGTCCCCCCAAGTCGGTTTGCTGTACATGGTGCATAAAAGTGTGCCATCGGTCCTTCTCTTGATGATCACGTCCACAAACGACAGCCTGTCCTCTTTTTCCTTTTCCTGTGATAACGAAAGGTTAAGGTGAATTGAGTCTAAGAGGGCAGAAATATGATCGAAAGGTTCACCATTTGTGTACAGTTGGAAGTTTATTCGCTGGGAATGCAATGCCGAATACCGCCGAAGAATGTGGAGAGGCTCCACACACAGATTAATTTTGAATATCTGTACGATCAACTCAGTG